CATTGCTAACCACCTGCAGGGATTAAAGGACAGGCATTGCCAACTCCCTTTATGCCTGTAAAGGGGCAAAGCCAGCCCTTTGGTTTGCATCAGCAGCTGCTGTTGGCGGGACTTGGGGCTATTCATAACTGATTAGCTTAATATGATATCCTTATCCCAGGAATCTTTCTATCCTCGATTACCACACCTGGGGTTGGCCAATTAACTGGGACAAATTCCAAAACATTGAGAGAAGTTCTGTTCCAGGGTGTTTCTCCTCTCCTATATCTTGTCTCCCACTTCCGAGCAGCAACCACACTAGTCTTCTCTCTCTCTCTCCCTCTCTCTCTCTCTTTCTGTCTCTGTGTGTGTGTGTGTTCTGAGGTGAGCAGACCTATAAGAACCTACTCCCAAAGACCAAGGAAGGTGAGGAGCTGAAGAAAGAAGCTGACAATTCCAGATTCTCAGAATGAGATACTTAATAGGGATTTATGAACAGAAGCCATATCTCAAGTGGCTGCGAATGGTGGATCCCTACACTACACTGTTACCCCACAGACCCAGGGCTTACAAATCACAGGGAATTTGCCTAAGGGGAAGATGTATGTGTTTACGATAACATCAAGGTTGTTTTGACCTAAGGGCAGGAATTATTGGTAATTACACACTCTTAACAGTAGATAAAATAGAAATTTTAGAGGCATTTTCAGAACTGGGATTAATCAGAAGTCAACATATCAGATTAGTATACAAGATGGAGTTACTCTAGCCTCTATATTCTGCCTCCTCAGTGCCCCCTAAACACATGCTCACCACCATCACCGCACCACTGTGGCTTGCTTTAAATGTCCCTGCACCCAATCCTTCACCAACCACCACCATACTTATTTCTTTCCATCTGTAAAAAATTTCCTCTTTTATCAAATCCATTCATTTACCAAATACTTACTGAATCACTACTACGTGCTAGGCACCGTTCACGAAACTGGGAATACATCATTGAACAAAACAATGTCCCTGAGCTCATGGAATTTTATTCTATAGTCTTTGAAACTCTTTATTGACCACACCAAATCTCCCTTCCTCTGAAATACTACAAATTTTGTCTTTATGGCTACATTACCATCAATGTATTTACACAGGCTAGAAATATGAAACTCATCTTCGATTCGTCAGTCTCCATCTATATCTAGTCATTCACAAAGTCCCCTGTTTTTTAATATCCTGAGAATTACACATGCTCATTCTTTTGTCCTCATCCATACTCTCACGGCTCTAGCTCAGGACTCTCATCATGGGTCACCTTGAACTGATGTAATCACCTCCAGCCTTCTAGCAGATTGCCCTGCTTCTGGGCTTTTCTCCCTCAAACCTATCTTTCTTGGGTCCACTCATGATTTATTTAAAATAAAAAGCTAAATCTAATCAGGTCCATGCCCTGCTTATAACCTTTTAAAAGTTCAAGCTACTTGATATGGTACCAAAAGCTGTTTGTGTTATGTTTCTTGTCTCAATGTTTTGCATAGTTTCTATCTCATTTTTCCCACACACTCTCTCTCTCTCTCTCTCTCTCTGTGTGTGTGTGTGACTAACTCATACTAGAGTTCTTTAGTGGCTGGTTTGTACAATGTTGTAGTCTCCATGCCTAGCACAGTGCCTGGCCTATATTAGTTCCTTACTAGAGTTTGAATTGAACTGGGTTTTTGCTATTGTTTTGAATTTCTTTGTGTCTTTGAGCTTAAGCTTTCATATGTCTGTGGCTTTCTTCTTCAACTGCAGAGTGTGTTCCTTGTGGGGATAATTAGGGTTATTTACAAATGTTCTTGTTCTCTTCCTCCTTTGTACATTGCAGAAAATTGTAGGATTTTCTTTCCCACACTTTTAAAATTAGGAATAGCCACATGATTTGTTCTGGCCAAAGACATGTGAACGGAAGTAGCATGTGTCATTTCCTGGAGAAAGCATTTCATTACCTCGCACAGAATACTGCCACTATCTCCTCCTCTTGGTGTATGGAAAGCATAAGAACAAACAGAGCCTTTCTCAGTCCTTGACTGACTAAGGTGAGCAGAGGCTTCTGCTGACCTGTGTGTGAAGTGCAGCATGGGCAAGAAACAAGTGTTGCTAATCCAAGGAGAAGTGGGGGCTGCTTTTTGTAGTCACCATAACCTAGCCTATTCTGACCGCTCCATTGCCTGAGGACAGGACCTGTACCACTTAACTTTGTGTCTTCATTGTGCCACATTTACAACAAACTCTAGACATATATTTAAATGTTGATTTCTGATTTTTTTAAATTTACAATGTCCAATTTCAAATATCCCTCTCCCATCAGTTTCTGCTCTCTCTATACTAAAGCACAATTTCTACTCATTTTAGCTCAACTATGCTTTCTAAAACATAGAAATTTCTAATCAGTTCATAATCTGGTGGCGGTCACTGGTGTAACGTTTTGTAGAGAATGAAATGTCACCCCCCGATGACTGACGATGATTCCTTCAGCTCAGCTGTGGTCAGTGTCCTCCAGGGATGGTGAGAAGGCCTGCTCGGAGCACATGCCCTGCAGCTGAGCAGCAAAGCAAAGGGGTTGTAATAAATCAGCTTCCTAGGGGAGGTGCGTGTTGCAGTGCAGCTCTCCCTGTAGCCTCTGTCCCAGCAGATGGCACAACAACATGGCAATAAATGTCATGAAAATGCTTCTCCCATATGCCTTTATTCGCCTATAAAAAAAAAAAAAAAAAAAAAAACCTTCACTTTTGAGCATGTAATTCTGTAAGCAGAAAAAAATAATAATCCTCTGTGATCCTTTTTAAACTCTATTGTTAAACAAGGGAACATTTTTAAAGGGAGGGAGGAATTCCAAATCAGAGCCCCTTCCTTAAAGGAATGCCTAATATGTATTTATTCTCTCTGCAATCCTCATGGTAACTGGAGAGGCATATTCTTTCTCCATATATAAATTTTATTATACCTCACTCCGATATTATTTCATGCACATCAGCACGGCACTAGTTTCTAGATGTGCTAGTCCACTGAGTTATTAAAAAAGAAGAGCCCACAACTTTCTATTTTCTTCAACCTGCTGATAGTTCTAACACAATTCCTTTTCCTTCCTCTGGCAGCCACACTTCCAAACACGTCCTCTCACAACTGGACAAACAAGTCCAGCTAATTACAACCTATCTGCTTAATACCCTGAAATTTAAAATTGAGCTTGTAGGCACTGTTTTTATGCTTACATGTTTTTAAAAATTAGAAGTTTTTAGCCAGAGTTATCACAGAAATTTGAATTTTAACTTGAAATTTTCGGCTTTATAAATGTCAAGGATTTTACTTCAAAATATGTCTACATTTACTATAACTACAATGTAATTTTTCTAAAGATACTTTCTGAAAGACAACCAAATCTCAAAATTAAATATGTGGCCTTCTTGATTTTTAAAAAATCAATCTAAAGAAAAAAATGCAATGTTTCCTTTGAACATAAAGTATCTAGGGACCACAAGAAACGTCTCTAGTGTGAAAACATACAAAACATGTACAAAAAATGTGAGTTCTCAGGCCTATCCTGTGAATGGAATAAGATCTCCTGACCTGTATTATCTACAACTGTTAGCAGCAGTGAATCCATACTGGTCTGCCCCAACCTCAATTCTTGCCTCCTCAGAAGAAATTCAACCAAGGGGCATAAGGCAGAGAGACTGAGACAAGTTTTAAAGCAGGAGTGAGAGTTGATTAAAAAGTATTAGAGGCCTGGCGCGGTGGCTCATGCCTGTAATCCCAGCACTTTGGGAGGCCGAGGCGGGCGGATTCCAGACCAGCCTGACCAACATGGAGAAACCCTGTCTCTACTAAAAATACAAAATTAGCCGGGCATGGTGGCACATGCCTGTAATCCCAGCTACTCGGGAGGCTGAAGCAGGAGAATCGCTTGAACCTGGGAGGCAGAGGTTGGGTGAGCCGAGATCGAGCCATTGTACTCTAGCCTGGGTAACAAGAGCGAAACTCCGTCTCAAAAAAAAAAAATTAGAGCAGGAATGAAAGGAAGTCACGTACACTTGGAAGAAGGCCAAGTGAGCAACTTGGGAGATCGGGTGCATGGTTTGGCCTTTGACTTGAGGTTTTATATGTTGGCAGTCTTCTGGGGTCAACGATTTCCCTGGGGTGGGCTGTCTGCATGGGCAGTGGCCGGCCAGCACTTGGGAGGCACCGCAAGCCCAATGTGTTTACTGGAGCCGTGCATATACTTACTTGAGGCGTTCTTCCCTTACCAGTTGAATGTTCCTGGAAGGTCATGTATCAGTTAAACTTTGCCTTTTTGCCTCTTAATGCACATGCTGGAGCTTTCTCGCCCAAATCCTGAGATCTTATCAGAAGCTGCTGACCACCAGTTTCAGGTGTTCCTATCTATTGGGAGACTGCCTTTCCCTGGCACGGGCTGCAACCAATTATTATTTTAGAGAGTCAGCTTAACAACTGGCTGACCGGCCGGGTGCAGTGGCTCATACCTCTAATGCTAGCACTTTGGGATGCTGAGGTGGACGGATCACCTGAGGTCAGGAGTTTGAGACCAGCCTGGCCAACATGGCAAAACCCTGTCTCTACTGAAAATACAAAAATGAGCCGGGCGTGCTGGCGGGCAGGTGCCTGTAATCCCAGCTACTTGGGAGGCTGAGGCAGGAGAACCTCTTGAACCCGGGCGGCAGAGGTTGCAGTGAGCCGAGGTCGTGCCACTGTACTCCAGCCTGGGCAACAGAGTGAGACTCTGTCTCAAAAGAAAAGAAACAACAAAAAACACTTGGCTGACCATCACCTGATGGTTGTCTGACATTCCTGGTGGTGGGGCGGGGGGGTCTCTCCTGGCCAGCTCCTATCTGCCTATCTACTATAATATAACTAAGCCCAGTAGTAGAGGAAATCCTTTATTTTGTTAAAATAGGCCACTGGGTAGACGTTGTTGCTTTGCACTTTTTAAGATCTATCAACATAATACCAAGAATAAAACACAAAGGAAAAAGTGATAAATCCAAACACGAAGGTGTTTAAAAGTTTATTAAATATTTTATTACACATCTGCATTGCCTAAGGTTTCTATAACACACACCTTACACTGGAATGATCTGTTTCTTGTTTTTATTTTCTACAAAAAAAAAAAAAGGGATGTTAAAATTAAGTATAGAAATGGTGGAACTTTGGGATTTCCTGTCCAGAGTTATCTACGAGTCAGGTTTTATTCCAGCTGATTCAACATGGCAGATTAAATGTGAAAAGTAAAGTGGTGGGCTCCCTTAGGCAGCAACTCTTGCTTCTTTCCTGGTTACCTCTGCCTACATAGATAATTGATCAAGAAAGATGCTTACACCCCCACACATATTCTAGATAGTTTTGGTCATAAAGTCACAAGTTTCCATATCTGCACAATTTTTAAAATATAGAACTACACATTTGCACAAAATCTTTGTTTGGGAGTGGGGGGTAGGTCAGGCAGTGGAGGAGAAACTGACACCAACTTCCCTGAGAGCTTCCAAAGTAAGAAAGCATCCCTTTTTCCTACATCAACTCCTGGTTGCATGCTGGAAAATGCAGCAAGTGAGGCACACCAAGCATAGACACAAAAATCCGAACACAGCCGTAAGGTAGCCAGGCCGGCAGGTGTAGGGCCAAAATGGCTGCACGCCACCACAGTAAAATGTCTGCTACAGCCGCACATTGACAATCAGTTTGGTGATGTTTCCAACACGGGCTGGGGGACTGAGATTCCCCCATATAAGGCAATGACAAGGATTTCAAATGGACCAAACATTTTGTATTAGTGTCAACAGCATGAACACAGCTTCATCTGGCAGAGGAGACGCAACCAAGAATATCTGCATTATTTAGTCCAGAGACATTGCCTGACACCATCTGTTCTCTGTCACCTCCCACCCATCAATGTGGCGCTTTCCTAGCGCACCCTTGCCCAGCTCTGTGAACCCCTCAGTGATGTATTTTGGCCCAAGAATTTCAAATCCCCATGTTTTCCTGAATAAAGAGATTTGGAAAGTTCATTTCAACAGAGTGATTGGTAACACAGAAGATCTCTTAATGCCGCAAAGAATTATTAGTTGTCCAGCTGCAAAGATGATTTGTTGCGTTTACCTTTATTCTAGGATTGAATACAATGCTTTCGCTATACAATGTGGTGGCTGGGGGATGGTGAGGTGGAGGGGACAGAGGGACTGAGCTAGAGTGCACAGCATAGAAGACCAATACTCTTACACTCCAGGGTCTGTGAACTGGTTCAAGGCCACAGAAGTGAATAAGAAAGCGAACTAACTAGCAGTAGGAAATAGGTTGCACAGAGCAAAGAAAAAACAAATTTCTGAAACACCTACAAACCGCATATGATGTCTATATTTGTGTCTAGCTGATTTGTATACAAACATTGGCCTTTCTGGAGATAAACTGTCCCCCTCTGAAAATCACGGTAACACTATTAGTAAGTCAAGACCAAAACAAGAGCCAACAGTCATGACAGTACTATATTTCATCTATATGGCCGGGAAAGGGGAATTAAAAGGAGGCCCTTCAAGAGAGAAAACCCCAATAACTTTTCATTAAAAATTAAAATGACTGATTTGTACAAGAGTAGTTCAAAATTTATTTATAAATTTGTTTAAAAGAATATAAGACATTTTTTCTTTTGTGCATATTTGTACCGCAGATTAAGAAAGTAGGGATTAAAATCTAGAAAGACCCCCAAAGCTTTCCAAAACCTGATCTGAGAATCAGATAAGAATGTGTCACTTAGAAAGACAAGCCTAATGCGAGCATTGGGGATACCCTTAGGAGATATACCTAATGTAAGTGACGAGTTAATGGGTGCAGCACACCAACACGGCACATGTACACATATGTAATAAACCTGCACGTTGTGCACATGTACCCTACAACTTAAAGTATAATAAAAAAGAAAAAAAAATTTCATAAAGAAAAAAAAGAATTCATGGGGCAGAAAATGTAAGGGGTTCTGGAAACAGAGACTTTGAAAGTCCAGAAATGAGCTATAAATAAACTGCTGCTAAAAAAAAAAAAGACAAGCCTGTAGCACCCATAGCTCTGATTAACCTGAAAGCATCAAGCGACTTCCTCTTTTTCTACCTTACCAACATTAATTATACTTCCAATTAGAAAAATAATGTAGCATTTCCCTGGCAGTAGAGATTACATGAGTTCAGTAATCAGCTCCTCCAAACATGCATAAATGAGGATAGGGAGAAGCCAGTCACTCCTGACTGCACGGTCAAGTGTGTGGGCAGTTGAAATCAAGGTAAAAACAGTGAAGCTGAACAAAATCACATTAAGAAAAAGCATCTCATGAGGTTTTTCGAGGTCAGTTGATGAACGCCAGATAGGAGTCAATATTTTCTCATATACCCTGGAAGAAAAAGAAAACGAAAATAACCACAAGCAGCAAAATAAAAGTCAAAGCCTTTGTAGTCAAAAATGAAGTTCCTCCAAAGAACGCTCTTACTGCATCAAGCTAAAATGACCATTTTTAAAAATTAACAACTTAAATGACCGTCGAAACTATTTTCTTTCAAGTCACATTGCATTTGATTCCCAAAATAGTCTCGGTCAATAATGTAATGGTTTGTCAAGTGATGTCTTATTGGCTGTGTTCTTAGAGTAACAGAGGTCACAAATAATATAGTTCGAAAATGTTGTCACCCACCTCCACAGTTACAGCCAGGACAGGAAGAACACATGTGGAACAGAGCAATTTAAATGGAAATGCCTCAAGTAGGGTTACGCTGTATTATGCAGGAGAAAGGTGACTTCTAAGAGGACCTTGAGGTAGGGAGATAGACTAATGAGTCTCCACTCACACCATGTACAAGGGTCAAGAGACCTCCATCAAGCCTTCCGCAGTGCTGGGCCACGTTATGTATGGAATTGCTGTTTCTTCTAACACTATTGCTGTTTCTTCTAACACTTGGGGATATTAAAATCTCAGGCTGCCTCATTGGTCATAGGAAATGCTTAACTGCCCTTGAAGACATAGGATTAAGAGTTTCCAGAGCATCCCAAAGAGCCTCACCTGCTGTATCAGAGGAAATATCATTTAAACGGATTTTTTTAAGTGACCCATCTTAGGTGCCTCAAAAAAACTAATAGAGGACCCTAGAAAAATCAAAATGTATTTTTTTACATATAAAAGCAATTATTGAAGAATAAATGTATATGTAAAGAAATATGAGAAATCTGATTTAAAGTAACAATGATTAAAAAATAAAAATCAGTCCACCTAACATACACACTTACTGGGGGCCTACTGCTTAAGTGTCTATATGACATTTCAAGAAGCCGCTGCTTCTTTACATGGCTTGGTTTTATCATAATTTCTGCCTTCCTCCTTTTTTTCTCTGGCTCTGACTTTTTACTGGTTCCGCTATTTCCTCCAAGCCTCTGTAAATTGAGGCATAACTTTCCTCTTTCATTCCTTGGAGAAGCTCAGTCCTCATCTATCAGTCTTTAAATGGTGACATATCCTTAATTTAATAGTAATTATAATATATTAATATAAGTTGTTAATCTATACATTAATGCGTCCACTTGTTATTAGCAAAACATGTCCTAAATAAAAGTTTAATTTATGTCCTCTCTTCTTACTTTTGTATGATATTCT